TCTATTTATGTACTTATTTATCCAGATATAGTTTTATAAACCGTCATCGCGTATTTGCATCATAGTCACGTAACTTTGTATGTGATTCTTATTATTTTATTGCGGTTTGGACGAACGTGGCTCAGCGTATACCGAGTGTTAAGCTATTGTAAATGTTGCTAAATATTATTGTTGTTTTTAATTATTGTTTTTTTTTAATTTCGTACCCAAGAGTTGAGGAAGGTAGCATCTGTCGTCCTGTCGCTTTAAATCTCCCAACGAAAATATGGCGTTTGCCTTGTAAATGTTTACATATTTGAATTAGAGATGAGAATAGGATTCAAAGATCGAGAAGTACGCCTACGTGAACGTTTATGTGTATATTTTATGCTGAAACTTAACAAATGATAGACACTTCTTGATATATCCTTGCCCGTTAGAATAGAACTAACCCCAGACATTTTATATAAAAACTGTGTGGTTCATAGCTGCTACTATTGCATGAATAAATTATATTTTATGCACATATAAATATGTGTTTGTATACGGAGATATGTTCCTTTGTCAAATGTCACCATAGTTTGAATCGCAGGTGCTGTTCATGTCCATAGGCGATAGTTATCATTTTCCATCAGATGGGCCATCAGCTTATTCAGCTTGTTTACCATTCTAAGTTTTTTTTTTTTTGTTATAAGATTGGTTTGCGCTTGATCTTAACTTACCTGATAGTAAGTGTTGATAATATCAAGAATGGAGTGCGCTTACCCAGAAGACTCTTATTCACCATAAGTTTGAAGTTGTTTCAAAAAAGAAGAAAATAAAGAATGAGATAAAGAAGAATATATTCTAATTGAACAGTAAAGATCTCCCTCTGGTAGTATAAAAGTAGTCAACTTGGGCATCTTTTTTCTCATCATGTTTCTACTATGAATCAGCTGTACTTGCAAGGCTGTATTTCGATTTGAAGGCTTTTATATAGCAATGAAATTACAGAATAAGTCATAAAACCATAGTCTTCAAATAGCAAAGCAGAAAGATTACCAATGACATTCTCTAATATCCATTGTTCATGTCTATAGACGATGGTTACCACTTTCCATCAGGCAGACCGTCAACTTGTTGCCATACTTGGTATTATCCAATTAACGTTATAAATGGGAAAGTTTGTTTTTTGGATGGATAGATGGTTTTTTTTTATGCAACTTAGAATGGCAAACAAGCTGACGGCCCACCTAATGTAAAGTGGTAAGCGTCACCTATAGATATGAGTAGTACCATGGACATAACAGAATATACTGTTTCACTCATGGTACTTTCCATGCGTTGCCATTCCTGAGGGCTCAGGTGCTATATCGCATTACCTTGTAAATTCATTGCCATATCCCATCCTTTAAACTGAAATACAGTCATGCAAATACAACTGCTTCACGGTAGAAACACGTATTGGGTAGAGGTGCCCAAGCAAACGACTTTTGTACAAAGTCTCCCTCTTGTTGTTTGTAACTCATTCACACAAAAACTTTTAAACGAATTTAAATGGAATTTGTTCATATCCTAAGTCAGCACATCGGATACTTTATATACTGATTCAAGCAGGTAAAGTCGCGAGATACAGCTAGTAAAATATATAGATTATCATACATACCTGCACAATTTGTGAATACAAAAGAAAATTCTGTTATCTGCATACAAAAGAGTTATCTATTGTTAATATAATGATTTCAACCTGACAAGAAATTGTCTTTATTATAATTTTGTCACGTTTGTGTTTAAGCAAAAAATACTACAAGAATTTAGATGCTATAATAGCATTTAATACTTGCACTTTGATTATAATGAATCTTGCTTTGAGAGACTTCTTTCTGAATACTATGATATACAAGAATACCTTTAGATAACAAATTGAATGAAATATTTATTGTAAATTGTTTTTATTGAATAAAAACATGATGTGTCAGGTTGAAGCTGTTTTTTAAAGTATAATAAAAATACATTTTTTTTTATTACACTGAGGTGGCAAACAAGCATACGGCCCACCTGATGATAAGCGGTTACCGTAGTCTATGAACGCCTGCAATACCAGAGGTATTACGCGCGCGTTGCCGATCCTGAAGAAACTTTAAAAAATAAAAGATTCTCAATTGGATGACAAATTTTCTGTGTACTTTTAGATTTAAAATTGAATTAGATAATTCTTTTTAACGGTTTAGTTCCGTATTGAATAACCATTATATTTATCAGATCGTCTGTACAATTTGTGTAGTTAGACTATTAGAATAAATAGTAGAATAAAAGCTTAAATAAATCTATGTTAAATTCTTGATTCTATGTTCTATCTAGAGCTTTTCAGATAGTTCATATTTAGTCTATAAATAACTAAAATAACAACGAGTATTGGCGAGAAACAAAAGAATGCTCTTAGAATTCTTTTTAAAAGTTTGCACTAAACTAAAATTGAAAAAGGAAAGACTGGAATTTCATTATTTGGTACTACACCTAAATTAAAGGACATAGAGTCTAATTTTCAATGTTCATGTTATTGATGCTTATATTTTTACAAGTTCATTTATTTGTAAATCTAGATACTTTGTTTACTAATCCTTTTTTAACACGTCTAGGTTCCGTAAAATAAAATCAAATGTTATGATAATATAAAGGCGTAATATAAAGGTACTGCGTACGACACTTATATAAGCCAGAAGTTATGACACGTTTATTTTTCGGGCAATTTATTCGTACTATATTTTTATTATATAACAGCGTAAACATTATATTAAATATATATTACGACTACTTATATTTATACGAGACTTATTCAATGAGTATTAACAAAGTATCAATTATAATTACGAGAGCTTGCTAATTATAGCTTTAGATTCCTTAAATATCATGATGGTGGTATAGTAAAAAGAATGATAATGAGCAAAGTATAGTACCGATAATTCAAAATTTGAGTAAACAAATTATGTACCCATTTGAGTAAAAAAAATGCAAATTTCATATTATAATCGAGGACTGAAATTATCACTGCAACGGTCTATTACCCATCGATTGAATAGAGAATAATTTAAAATAATTATGTTATTTTCAATTCCAAATTTAAAACTTATTGGTAAACATGATACAGCGCATTTCCGTTCAAGTCGAAATAAAATGAACTAATTTAAAATAAGAACCCTTTCTACAAATTAGGTCAAATTCGTTCAGTGCTTTTAATTGTTCTGCAAATAGTAGAACTAAACGGTTGAACTATCTGTGGTGTGGTAGAACTGAAAGGTAAAATTATACATACATACATATATACATACATATCTGTCACGCCTATCTCTCGTTAGGGTATGCAGAAACAATGGAACGCCAAATGCTTCGATTCAAACAAACCTCTTTCGCTTCTTCCACATTCATCAATCTTTTCATACACGCTCGCCGGTTACGGGTACTTTTAATTTGACCCTTAATCAGCACGTCGCCTAAAAAAAATAAAAAAAAAATTACATTGAGACAATTTTTTTTATTCAATTCATAATGGCAAATAACGGCCAGTCTATTGAAAGTGATAACCGATTTTCAGCTTGCCTTATGGTTGACAGATATAGAACGCCATTAGATGTTAAGTTCGCCATATGTACACTTACTTACATTATATAATTGCCCATTGAAGTTTAAATAAATAAAAATAAAATAACCCGTCGTCTCTCGACATGAATAGCACACGAGCGTCACAGAATAACCGGTGGAACACATTCTACCCCTCATGTCCTGCATCTTTACCTTATTATATCACTGCACTCTATAATATCACTGCCTTATCCCATACTTGTTCATTCTGCCTTGTGGTCCCGGCGTAGAACGGACCACCCCTTTCTTTTCCGTGGGCGTTATAAGAGACGACTAAGGGAATTTAAAAGTTTAGAGATGAGCAGTAGCGTATCTCTTAAAACATCACCAAAACCTATCCGCGGTTACTAACCCATCTGCCAAGCAAGGCAACTAATGGTAAAATTCCCCCTTATGGGGGAGGCGTATGTTCAACAGTGGACAATTAACGGCTGATGTGATGTGATTATGATCAAATTCTTTAAAATAAAGTAAAACGCATGCATGCGGGCTGTTACATAGACGGGATTGCTGTAAATAACTTGAGTTACGCTGACGACATGGTGCTGCTGAGTCCATCAATCAGAGCTTTACGTAAATTGCTAAGCGTGTGTGAAAAATATGCTGAAAAACATGGTCTAAAATATAATACACAAAAAAGTTAATTTATGTATTTCGGTCTTGGTGGTAAGAATCCACAAATCCCGCCAATTCTTCTGAATGGTGTTCCTCTTAATAGAGTGACTCAGTTTAAATATCTAGGACATATTATTACCGATGACTTGAAAGATAACGCTGACATTGAACGTGAACGCAGGGCGCTGGCTGTAAGAGGTAATATGTTGGCTCGCAGGTTTGCTCGTTGCTCGACTGAAGTCAAAATAAAATTGTTCAAGACATATTGCCAATCTTTTTACACGAGCAGCCTGTGGGTTGACTATACACAGCGGGCATACATATTTATATATACATATACATCTGCGTATTCAATACAATAATGTTTTCAGGGTATTGTTGCGGCTGCCACGTTTTTGTAGTGCATCCACAATGTTTGCAGCGGCATGGACAAATGGCTTCTATGCCATCAGACGCAAACGGATCGCATCTCTTTTATACCGATTGCGTGGCAGCAGTAACAGCATTCTGAGGGCATTATGTAATAAATACGATAGCCCGATCCTCTCATTGTGGGTCAAAATTATTATAGGGGCCATAAAATGAATTTTGTATTTTTTTTTCTACTAACATAGTTTAAGTCAATTGTTACTAACAAAAATGGATCTTTGTAATCTATAAATAAAGAAATATTATTATTATTAAAACCCTGCAAGCAACTTTACGACAGAATCATGATTAGAGCAATAGTGTATAAGCAGACAACTTTTGTACCTTATTTTTCTTGACACTATATGTACATTTTGCAGTTTGGCATCGGCGTCATCGAAGGAGCCGTGGAAAGTTGAAGGTGATACAGATGAGAGGAACGAGAGAGCCAAACGCGCGTACAGCGCTGTCCTCACCGTCACCAGCCCTGCACCAGAAAAGAAAGAATATCATGAATTTTCTGATCAGGTAATCTATTTTTTTGTCGTATGGCCCTGGCATAGAATAGGCCACCCCTTCCTTTCCCGTGGATGTCGTAAGAAGCGACTAAGGGAGGGCAAAGGATGCACAACAGCGTCCCTCTTAAAACATCTCTAAAGGCTAACTGCGGTATTGTATTATTGGAAACAGACGTCCGTTATATTATTTTGTTTCCATCAAGATATGTATGGGACGACGAAACAAAAAACTACTTTATAAGAAACCATTTTGGTTACGATTAGAAATTGTTATTTTAATAGTTAAGTATTAAAAATAATATATATTTATATTGTTAAATGTTTCATAAGTATACATTATATTTAAATGTAATAACTTACTTGCATGTTATTTGGTCCAGATAGCTTTATTAGTTTCAGGGTCAATCTGGACCCGTAATCTTGAGTTGAAAAGTACCCTTAGATATAAATAGATAACTCTTACATGATTCTCAAATAATGAAATTTGTTTTTTTTTTTTAAATCGATAGATTAGTGGATATTATCAACCATCAGTATAAACACTCTTAATAAATATTTTTTTGTCTAGAGTGCAGGTAATTTTATGGTATATTTTCTGTTTTTTCAAAGCTTGACTGGCAGACAATGTTATTTAGTTTTAAAACCGCCTTAAAACCTTACTAAATATATAGATTTATAACTATATAACTAATAATTATATAACTTAAATATTATAAATATAAAAGTGAGTTTATTTGTTACCTGTTGGCACCTTAACAACTTAATCATTTATTATAAAATTTGGTATACAATATAGACTTGATATACAGTTGGAGAAAGATATAGGTAATTTATCATTCCGGTTACGCGGATGAAGTCGCCGGTAAAAGCTGGTATTTAAATATATGTACTAGGTAGGTCTAGACATGAAAATATCGTGTGGAGTTTTGTAAATATTTTGTAAGATAAGAGAAAATACCTTACATTGTCTCGTGTCTCAGAATTTTTTCAAATAAAGACGGTAGACATGAAGGTGAAGCTTAGGTACAGAAAGACATGTACCTGAATAAATATAAACGGTCCATAACCTAAGATACGACGTCGTCTCCTGAAACTGGATTCATAAATCATGAAGTTATTCTTACTCCACACGCATTAAATACATACATATTTCTTATAAGAAGACAAGTAACTAGCTTTTACTGATTATAATTTAGATATTCTAATAGTTTAGCAGCTGGAACAATAAGTAGGAATGGTTTAGTTGAAAAATTTTTTTTTATGTTATTTATTTAGACTGAACTTACGTCTATTGGTCTATTTGCGACACTTTTGTAATTACTGCATCTTGTTGTAATGAACTTTAGTATATTTATTACTTAGATTATATAGATAGAGTATCTTCATACAAATGCTTCACTAAAAGCAGGTTTCTTTTTTATTCATGATGCGAGAATAGGGTTACCATAATATAAATAAATTTATTACTAAGTATATGGGACAAAATATATTATAAGTTTAAATTGAAAAATAATAATAAAATGTTTAAAATATATTTAAAAGAGTTAGATAGTCAATAATAATTCGTAATAATACTTATCTTTACTGGACACTTTGTTTATATCTGAGTAAAGACATAAATTAGGTTTTCGTTTTTAAACTATTGTAAAAAGTCGCCATTTTAACTAATAAACGTATATTGAAGTGCTAGTCATTTATATATTTATATTATATCAGAAAAATAACTACCAATTCTAATTAAAAAATCTGCATTTTTTTAAATCCAATTACTTATAAGTAATAATCATTAGTCCTGGAATACCGAAAAAAATACGTTTGTTTTGATTTAAAAAAACATATTTTAGCTAATTTGACGTTCGGCTGACTAAAGATTGAAACGTTTTTTACACGCCTTATTTATATAATCTAAAACTAATTGTTAATTTAAAAAAATAAATAAATAAATAAAAATATACCTATTTTTACAGTGCTTATTTAAAAGTTATATATAATTATATATTTTATACTACAAAGGTAGCAAACAAACATGCAGCCCGTATGATAATAAATAGTCACTGTAGACAACAGATACTTGCAACACTAGAGGTGTCACGTGTGTGTTACCAACCTTGAGGAAATCTTACTATACCTATATTATAAACAATAAGAAAAAGTGTTTTAGTAAATTAATTTGGCGTGGTGATGTATGATGAAAAGTACTAAAAACACTTATATATCTTCACTCAAAGTCTCATGCATTTGCTTCTATCCTTATATACATCTTTTGTTTCATTCACTCTCTTGTCTCGTACATTCACGTCTGTTCAGGAGTCACAAAAACAAACCTAATTAATCCGAAAGACGGTGGTACTTGAATCACTCCGTCGTTGAATTCAAATCTGCTCAACTCTCGACTTGCCCGCATTTTACTGGGAAATGTCAAGTGTCAAGTGAAAAGGCAAGTCAAGTACTATGCTCACTATGATGGCAACATTCGAATGTTGCCATCAAATTTTCACAAATACATTTTTTCCACAAGAAAAAATATGTTTATTATACAAATTGGTGAAGGGTAGATTCCTTATTCATTCTATAGAAGTTTGTCCTGCCATAACTAATATTATAAATAAGAACGTGAGTTTGTTATTAAATATATATAGTTTAGGGATATAGTTTCAAATATATACAGTTAATATGCTATACGTTTAAATGTCGGCAACAGACTGACAAATCCTGGTTGAGAGGTAGGTACACATTTTACAATTGTCACACATTAGTGATGTACCCACAAACATTATAATACTTTCTTTTTTTTAAATAACTTTATTGACGATAATAGATTAAGGTACAAAAGGCAGATTTAATGCTAGTAGCTTCAGTCAGCCTTTGGGATGAAGAGTGAATCACGAACGTACTTAATTATTGGAATAGATAAAGAAAATAACATCGAATAATATATAGTTGCACAAAATAAGTAATATATACATAAATATAAAGGAATATATATATATATATATATATATATATATATATATATATATATATATATATATATATATATATATATATATATATATATATTAACAGAATATTTTATAAATAGAATGTATTCTCTATAGTCATGTCCTGAATAAATATTGTTTAACAGAGCTTACATAAAAAAACGCATAATTAGTAGAATTAGAAATACCCAGGAGATGAGTAAATAATAAATCAATATTTACCGTACCGGGTTTTATAAGAAAAAAAGGTAAATAAAAAACGGTCAGGTCGAGGGTATAATTACTGGAAACTTTCCCATAATATTTATAAAATTAAACAACGTTTTCCAAGAAAGTTGAATTTAATGTATTTTAAGTAAACCGCTTTATTTACTTGGTACATTTTGGGTACGGGTATATAATGGGGATAATGTATTAGTGACCCTTTATATTCTTAGTTGACCATTACACAAAATAATACAATTTTAATTGAATTAATTTAATGGGACTTGTTTTAAAAGGTTGTGAAATGTAACCCCGCCTACGTAGACAGTATACGATATCTGACCTGAGATGGTATATTTTAGGCAATAATAGTGTAGTTATAAAAACATAATATATAGTCTTCAGGAATGAGACAATGCATAAGTGTAAAGTGGAAACCATAGTGTATTTATAAACATACAACAACTATGTATATATATATATATATATATATATATATATATATATATATGTGTGTGTGTGTGTGTGTGTGTGTGTGTGTGTGTATATATATATATATATATATATATATTAATGAAAATAAATTGTCATGTTTATAGGCAATGAGGTATTTTCCATCAGGTGGATCGTCAGCTCGTTTGGCATTCTAAGTATTTTTTTATAGATAATAATGATATTGGAACTCCGCCTGTGCTGTTAGTTTACGCTGGCGGAAAACCAGTGAGTGATGATAGATGAGGATGAAAGCTGGTCAGTCGACACTACTTGACGAATTTGTCAGAAATTAATCATGATAGTTTACAGAGGGAATCGCGCGGAAGCTGATAGTATATATTGCTAGCAATGGGGACTAATATCCCCGCTATTAACAATACCTTCTGCTTTACTTTATTGTATATTTCAATAAAATATATTAACGAGTTTATATTCTCCAGGTTAAGGAGTTGGCGGCTACAAAATATAATTACACATTCGGAAAAGGCGAAGTGGTGTCGACCTTCGTGGGAGCATTCTATGATGCAGTACTTCTGTATGCATTAGCACTAAACGACACTCTGAGAGAAGCGGATAGCAAAGGACCGCTAGATGGCGCTGCAGTTATTAAGAACATGTGGAATAGGACATTTCAAGGTTTGTATTCGAAATTACAGACATAGGTAGTTTTTGGTTTTATATTTAACAATATATACCATATTGCTGCTTGAAAAATTACTAAGTTATTTATTTCGAAATAGAATGGACCATCCCTGCTTTTCCCGTGGTTGTCATAAGGGGCGACATTACTAAAGCCTAACTACGGTTGCTCACCCGCATGCCAAATATTGGCAGTTACTGACAAGACCTCCCTTATGGGGGAGGCACATGTTTAATAGAAGACAGTTAACGCCTAATATAATAAATATGTTTACCTAAATAGAAAATCAAACATACTGACTGATATAGAATTCGCTTTAGAAAAAAAGTCCAATGCGAGTTCTGCATCAGTTACTTAAATCTAGACTAATTTACTTAAATTTAGCATCAGAAATTATGGAAGATGATTAAATGCGCTATATTTGAACTAAAATAAAGTTGCTTGACCGTCTACGAACCTTTTTAGTTTCCATATTAAAATCGTCACTCATTACATTCAAAATAACAAAGCTCTGACACAAAAAGAGTTTAGTTAATTAGATTTGGGTTATTAGTCGTATGTATAATTTACGTTTTACAACGATGAGCATTTTATTGAACAATATTTCTAGTCGTTTTTTTTTTACTTTATTTATCCTCCCCGTTGCGTTTCCTGGAAACTGTCGTGGTTAGTTCCTAATGAACTTGCTGCGATTAACTAACTGAATAGGACTTTATTCTTACCTATCATCACTTACTGTTATTCCGCAAATAGCTCAGATGGAGTATCATTTCAGTTTAAGTCTTCAATCATAACAAAATCAGTTATTTCGATATAAAAACCAAACTACTGAATTCCATGAGATGAAATTTCTATTGGACCAATCTGAAAGTATATCAATTCAATAAAAAAAAAAAAAAACTTTATGAATCGGTTTATAAATGACGAACTTCTGAGGTAAGAAAAATAAAAAAAAATACAACCGAATTTTCTTATGCAAACTCAGAATGGCAAACAGGTCTCTTTTTTACCCTTGGTACTCTTTACTTTTTTAAATTCGGTTATAAAATACACGAACCCGTTTAAAATAAAGTACGTATAATCTTATTGTTTTTCAGGTATCACCGGCGAAGTTATAATCGATGGGAACGGGGACAGGGTTGCTTCGTATTCGCTTCTGGATATGAATCCCGAAACAAGTAAATTTCAGGTCAGTGAACACTGTTTCGCTTTACCGTTTGGTATTGTATTGATTCTATTGGTAATAACAAACAAAAGAACCTTGGGACTTACCTGATGCAAAGTGAAATGCAACTATATTTAATCCTAACTCGTAGTTTTTCGCGAGTTTGTCTGCATGTAATCTTTTATCTTCTTTTTCTTGTAAATTTTAGTATTCAATATTTATCATCGTCATTATCATCATTTCAGCCATTATCCGTCCATTGCTGGACATAAGTTTATAGATATAGATACATAGACTGCCATAAAGAACGGTCCTGAGCCACCTGCATCCACTGACTCCCTGCAACGCATTTCAGGTCGTCCCTCCATCTAGTGGGGGGGTCGTCATATATTTCAATATTATTCAATATTCATAATAGTGTAAATATATCTATTTCAACGTCAAGCCTCTTTTAGGGTATACAGAGAAAACCGAGTTCCAAAGACCCTTTCCTTATTTACATCTCTTGTTTCTTGCACTTTTATAAGTTTTATGAAAACACGCTAATTCCGAAGACTGGTGCATTTTTTATTGGTGGACATATATGATTTATTACATGTAATTTTTTTATGAAACTTGTAATGGTAGACAAGTTAGCGCCTCCCCTTCACAATGTCACATAACACTCTGTGATACCCATAGTAACCTTCATGCTTTGCCATACTTGAGGACTATAGTGTAATGCCTTAGTGCCTTGTAACTTTATCGCCACATCCTACCCATAGGAGTTAAAATCCGAGTAAACAAGATCCATCCATGTAGAAAAATTTAATCAGATTCGTTCAGCTGTTTTTACGCGTGACTGAGTAAGAAACATCTTTATATTTAAAAAACATTTATAACATATTTGTTAGTAGGAAGGATTATCGTTCGTATATGTATGAATTTTTATTTATATATATGTATCTCTATGTATATGTATTTATATATTTATATGTATATGCGGATTTATTCAAGTATGTATCAGCAACTAAAATGTACATTTATATATTCACATTATTATTTAAAACACGAACAGATTTTCGTGCCGACAGTCAAACTGTTTATAATTACTTTTTTCCATCCAAATATTTCCTGGAAGAGATCATTTTTATAATATAAGGCCGTCCATGGTTTTGTCAGTCTAATCTTTTCTTGTAATTTTTTGTATTTATAATAAGTCTACTATTGCAATCTTATGGAAACAATAAACAGTATCTATCTATCTAGAAAGATAGATAGATATATACTGTTAATAGATAGAAATAAAGATGTTAGATATCTAACATCTTTATGTCTAGAAAAAGGTGTTAAATCGATGACTTCATAAGATATATCACTAGCGACTCGCCTCGACTTCACACGACTTTTTTTTTTAATAATATATTGCTCATGTTACTCGCTGATAATGCAGCTATTTATAGGTGAAAGAGTTTAAAATCAGTTAAGTAGTTTTTGAGAGACTTATGGAGCACTAGTGAATGGAGATGTCGGTAGGGGTCGCCCTATACGGCAGTATATTCATGAAATCGGCAATGTGCTGAAGAAGGGCCAAATTAAAAGTACCTGTAATTAACAAGCGTGTATGAAAAAAATTATAAATGTAGAGGAAGCGAAAAATCTGTTTGAATCGAAGTATTTGGCCTTCCATTGTTTTTGCGTATTTTAACGGGAAACAGGCGTGACAGATATGTATGTATGGTTTTTGATTTTATTCTATACAAACAAACATGAAAAAATCAAGTTTTTAAAAAGAGTAACTCCGTTATCATTCCCCACACGGACATACATTATACCTATCTTTATCTAAACATATAGGTAATAAATCTTTCTATTTTCTGTTTATACAAAATATACCGCTAAATGTGATGCTTAGCGCAAAATTAAGGAATGGTTGGACCAAATTGGCTATTTTTTTCACATATTTGTTGAAATACAAATCAGGTCAATATAAAGAGAAATATTGAAAAAGAAAATCACTGAAAAAACGCAAATTTTCCACTTTTTCTTTTCCCACATAACCTGGTTAATCCCTGTAGGTAGCGGTAAGGACAGAACCAGGACAGCTTGTTATTAATATGTACATAAATATAATTAAAACTAACTTTCGGAATATCCTTTCTATGTCGGTTTAATTCTCTCAGGACAGTATACTGCAAATCAATGTCTCTTTAAACCGTAGGATATAAGACTGGTATTTTTTCAATTAAAGTTAAAAACTACCCTGATTACAATATATTTAAAACTATGATATGGATTTTTATGTTAAGTTTTTTGTCCACGATGATCTTGTAAGTAAAGTTCAATGACATTTAAACTGTTATAAAGAACATTACATCATACCTCTTTGTACGACGTAGGGCAATTAGACTTGTATGTGGTCAGTAGCATTTTTTTTTTATTTGGTTTGACCTCCGGCTTTGAGTGAATAAGCGGAATTATAAATGACCCTGATTGCGGTTACTCAGCACTTTCATATAGAGATACATATATATATTTCATTAATGTATATATTTGTTGTGGTAATATCAATATATATGTATGTACATGTTTTGATTTATAATATTGAGTGGATTTTGTTTTGCAAAAAAATGAGAATGGCAACGCATGAATAAGCAGTACTAAGGGCGTCAAAATGTATTCTTTGATGTCTACAATGTTGTTGAACAGGTAGGCCGTCAGCTTGTTTGCCATTATAAGTATCATAAAAAAAGCGTATTTTTGTCGAGAATGTTCAATTAGTTCCGGGACAATCCGAGAGTTTTAATCATGAGACGTTACGCGAACGCAAGACTGACACCGGTATTACGCTATCCAATATTCCAATACCCTAACATGACGTTGACTCGAACACTCCAAGATGTACAAATTCGATATGTCCTGACACATGGTCAATCAAATCTCAATAAGGCCATATTATAACTTCATTCATCTTGGAGGACGTTGAAGTGATGAGTGCTTTTGCATTATACAACCAGAAGGAGACTTTGTGCTAAAGTCATCTGCTTGAATACCTCTGTTCCATTCGTGTTTCTGCCGTAAAGCAGTTGCGTTTGCATGGCTATGTTTCGATTTTAAAGATGGGGTATTACAGTAAAATTACAGGGTACAGAGGCATAACACCTTAGTTCTCAGGAACGGCAATGCATGAAGGGTATAATCAGTGACATAGAATACTCTGTCATTCTCACTTTCCATCATATGAGCCATTAGCTTGTTTGCCATTCTAAGTTACATAAAAAATACACATATTGTTAAATAATATTTTACTAGACCGAGATCCAATCGCGAATGAACTGAAACCGTCATTATAGTGTGAATTTGGCTATAAGAGACTCGAAAAGTATCGAAACTAGTCGAGCCTTCTCGATCTGTTGAACATAGGCCTACCCGTTTTGGGGAATTTTGCCAGTAGTTGCACGTTTGATAGGCGGGTTTACAACCATAATTAGGTCTTCGTGATGTTTTAAGAGGGGCACTGCCAATCCTTCAACCATTAACTTCCCTTAGTCGCCTCATATGACGTCTACGAGAAAGGAAGAGGCCCATTCAAAGCCGGGATTACACAGCAGAAAATTTGATTATTTCTACAAAAACTGTTGAGTGAATTATCAATTAGAAGAAACCGATAATTTTTCAACTGTTAGAGTAGGCAGTAATTAATTAGCTCTCATCGAGAGTTTATCGATATTCGATACCAATAAATTATTCCGGACGCCGGATCTGAAACTGATAGGTATCTGGGAATTAAACAAAGTGAATTATCAAATAGCGATTGCGAATTCGCAAACAAAATAGCAGTAGCTGTAATGATACATTTAGAACTAGGTCAAAAACTTATAGATACAGCACTTTGTAAGGACTAAGGAGATCTCGTTACAAATGTTTCGGCAAAAACAATCTGTCATTTTTTTAAAACGAAGTTCTTTAAATTTGTGTTAATTTTTTTAATCTTTCAATGGCTACGACTATTGAACACAACGTGAACCTTTTTTAATGTACAAATTTGCGGCCAAAAAGTTAGTATTTTACGTAATTTGAATATTTTTTTCTTAAATATATGACATGTACAGGCTTCGTCTAGTTGCAATTTTATTATATTAGTTAAAAACTCAGTGCAGATTTGGCGAGAATATCACATAATATAGGAAGAAAGAAACAATCAAAATGCAAATCTTCTTACAATCGGTTTTATTTTTGATTTTTTCATCTCTTCCCTTAGTATATTGGATTTTGTTCCCCTAGTTGCTTTTTGCGACATTTTATAAATAAAAATGTGTAGTGGCCCATTGTATTTTTATCCTGCCACTATACTGGGAGACTAGAGGAAAAGAATTATTTACAAATAAATCTAATCCGATTATATAGAGTACTTTTGGTGAACCGTAATAAAAGGAATAAAATATCGCAAGGGAACTTAAGTGACCGTAAAATGTCGGATAGATATCGTATCAGGGTATAATATCAGACTTAAAGAAATTTAGCCTTGTAAAGAATCGAGTAGACATGTGATATCGCCACTGAGATGTTCAATCGTTACTTTTTATTTGGATTTTTGTCTAGAGGTATTTTTTTAAGTACAAAAAACAAAGGTGAATTTCATAGTATAAGACGAAATAATGAATGTGTGTATGCGTGCGCGCGCGTTAATGTCTGTGTGCACATGTGAGTGTGTATGAGCGTGTGTGCGTATCTTTTGCTAAATAAAAAGCACTTGTTATAATAGAATTCCAGTAGCATCTACGTACTGTTAAATTTTGAAATGATATCTTTTATAATAATGTAAAAGCAGAAAATTTACAGGAAATATCAATATTATGATTTTAGCGAGGGTCTCTTGAACAGAACGGTGTGGAATGAACAAAGATTTCAGAAACAAAACAATTGTTACTAATTGCATAACGGGCCGTTTCATTAGCAACACAAAGAGATTTCATTTGCTAAAAGGCCTTAAACGAATCCATAACACAAAGGGAACTTTGCAAATGAGAACTATAGTTACGGCA